ACACATCCTAGATCTGAATGAATGAAATAATCTTATTAAATACTTGTTTCTTTACATAGTTGAATGTGCTGACAACAAAATCACACAAAAATTATCAATGGAAATCAAATGTATCAACCCATGGAGGTCTGGATTTGGAGTCACCCTCAAAATTAAAGTGGAAAACCACACTACAGGCTGATCCAACTTTGATGTAATGTCCTTAAAACAAGTCAAAATGAGGCTCAGTAGTGTGTGTGGCCTCCACGTGCCTGTATGACCTCCCTACAACGCCTGGGCATGCTCCTGATGAGGTGGCGGATGGTCTCCTGAGGGATCTCCTCCCAGACCTGGACTAAAGCATCCGCCAACTCCTGGACAGTCTGTGGTGCAACGTGGCGTTGGTGGATGGAGCGAGACATGATGTCCCAGATGTGCTCAATTGGATTCAGGTCTGGGGAATGGGCGGGCCAGTCCATAGCATCAATGCCTTCCTCTTGCAGGAACTGCTGACACACTCCAGCCACATGAGGTCTAGCATTGTCTTGCATTAGGAGGAACCCAGGGCCAACCGCACCAGCATATGGTCTCACAAGGGGTCTGAGGATCTCATCTCGGTACCAAATGGCAGTCAGGCTACCTCTGGCGAGCACATGGAGGGCTGTGCAGCCCCCCAAAGAAATGCCACCCCACACCATGACTGACCCACCGCCAAACCGGTCATGCTGGAGGATGTTGCAGGCAGCAGAACGTTCTCCACGGCGTCTCCAGACTCTGTCACGTCTGTCACATGTGCTCAGTGTGAACCTGCTTTCATCTGTGAAGAGCACAGGGCACCAGTGGCGAATTTGCCAATCTTGGTGTTCTCTGGCAAATGCCAAACGTCCTGCACAGTGTTGGGCTGTAAGCACAACCCCCACCTGTGGACGTCGGGCCCTCATACCACCCTCATGGAGTCTGTTTGACCGTTTGAGCAGACACATGCACATTTGTGGCCTGCTGGGGGTCATTTTGCAGGGCTCTGGCAGTGCTCCTCCTGCTCCTCCTTGCACAAAGGCGGAGGTAGCAGTCCTGCTGCGGGGTTGTTGCCCTCCTACGGCCTCCTCCACGTCTCCTGATGTACTGGCCTGTCTCCTGGTAGCGCCTCCATGCTCTGGACACTACGCTGACAGACACAGCAAACCTTCTTGCCACATCTCGCATTGATGTGCCATCCTGGATGAGCTGCACTACCTGAGCCACTTGTGTGGGTTGTAGACTCCGTCTCATGCTACCACTAGAGTGAAAGCACCGCCAGCATTCAAATGTGACCAAAACATCAGCCAGGAAGCATAGTAACTGAGACGTGGTCTGTGGTCACCACCTGCAAAACCAGTCCTTTATTGGGGGTGTCTTGCTAATTGCCTATAATTTCCACCTGTTGTCTATTCCATTTGCACAACAGCATGTGAAATTTATTGTCAGTCAGTGTTGCTTCCTAAGTGGACAGTTTGATTTCACAGAAGTGTGATTGACTTGGAGTTACATTGTGTTGTTTAAGTGTTCCCTTAATTTTTTTGAGCAGTGTATATATTTTATCCATTTTAGAATTAGGCTGTAACACAAGATGTGGAAAAAGTCAAGGGGTCTGAATACTTTCCGAAGGCACTATTTGTGATGTTGTATGGCCATGAGAGGGAGCCACCTGACAAGCCTGTCAGGCTTTTTGACTCTTTTTAACTTCATGCTGAATTTCTTTGTGTGTTTACTTGTGCAAAAAATATGAACTAAACCACACTCTGGTTACCAAATTTGTTGTGCAGTAACTTCATGTGAAATCATCTTAGAGTTTTATCTCAATGGTAGAAATATTGATACATGAATGAAATGGATGAAGTTGAAAAAGTTAAGCAATGGCACCCTGAATTTGCACCTCAACTAAATCTAGGGGAAATAATAGGGTCACTGGATAGAAAGTATGACAGGGCACAGGGCAGTTCTGAAAAATAATAGCCTTTATTTTCTAACAGTGGTATTTGAAGGGGCCAATACCTGCTCTCATGGTTCTGAATATGGTGAAGCAATAAAGGACACACAAGTAAAGATGGTCTGTTCGTCTGTGTGATGAAAGCATCAAAGAAACATCAACAAAACAACAAAAGGTAAAGATTAACGCACATTGTCTAAGCAAATATATATATATGAGCCTCATCACCTGGCTAACTGCTTCGACAGAGAGAGTTAGCTGGTGGACGAGACTATAAATAATATTTAATTTGCTGCGCACATTTCCCCACGCTCAATGCGCACACATTATGATCATGTAACCTAACCTATTATGTTATTGTGATATAACTAGATACTGTGTGAGGCCTCAACATTACCCTTCAGAACCCTGCTGTAAACATGGAAACACACAGACAAACCCACAAACAAGAAAGCTATATTACAAAGCAGGATCAAATGGGTCAGCCAGTAAACCTTCCTTCATACTCTGATAAAGAAAATGGACTGTAAATCATTCTTCTTCCTATTTAAAATGTAAAGATAGTCTTAAAATGGGCATGGTAGAACTGACTTCTCTCGCAACAATCTCTTGTTAAAGTGTAGCTTTTTAAAATGAACCAGATAATCAAGAGCCTATCTGTTAGTGACAGCTCCCCGGGCGCCCAATGTAGCAGCCCCCTGCACTTCCCCGATTCAGAGGGGTTGGGTTAAAAGCAGAAGTCAAGTTTCGTTTGGACCTTGTGTGCAATTGACGATAAAATGTATCTATTTATTTATTTGTATTATTTATCCTGCTATGTGATCCAGCCCTCTAGTAGACAACACTCACTGCCTCCCAGAAACACCATAGACTCATGTCATACAGGGCTATGTTCAGTAGGCATCAAGCAGTAGAAAACATTTTGAAACCTAAACCTAATGCAAGCCCTAATGAAAGGATTGCTTTTTTTATATAACTGAAAGAGATTCTTAATATTGTCTGGTTTGAGTGCCGTACCTGCATAAATAAGAAGCGAGAAATGGGTTGATAGCTCTATGGGAATCATCGTGTGTCCTAAATGGCACCCTATTTCTGATATAGTACACTACTATTGACCAGGGCCCTAGTCAAAAGTAGTGCACTATATACAGAATAGGGTGCCATTTCCGAAACACACACAGACTCAGATGAAGACACTGCTTTTGACAGCTGTGTTGAACTTGACACCATCCTCTTCATGTACAAATGGAGGAAAATAAAGCCATTTTAAATACAGGAAAGGGTTCTAGCAACCCACACATTCATTAGAATAGACATCTATGGAAATACAGTTATTTAAAAATACGTTTGAACATAGGATTGAAATCACATTCGATAACCAGGTCTGGGAATCCAGTGATTTATCATCAGGACTTCCTATAGATTCATATAACCATACAATTATATGTATTATAGGATCATATAGAGCCCCACAGTGGAGATGGTATAATACCCATTTAAAAGTCCTAGGGAGATTTACACAGTTATCAAAACGTCATGCCAGGTTAAGCCTACACGAAACACAGCCCTTATTTTAAGTGTTTCTAAAATCCCTTATGGGAAAAATTAATGGTGGAGAAATGATTGGAACCATTTTCCTTTGACCGCTAGGTTTTATGGGTATTATGACTCATACTGTGGTACTCTATGCCTATAGCTATCGAATGGAACCTAATCTCTCCGACTCAACCTTGAAGTCCTACATAGCGCAGACACTATTGACGCTAGGGAAACCACATTTTGATTTCATCATGGGTCTTGTGATGTGGGGTTGGGGATGGAGGATTTTAAATACAACATTCTATCAAATAACATTTTGTGACAGTGACATAACAGCTCTCCCCTCACTTCTAACAGACTACATACAGAACAGAGGACATGACAGCGTAACAAGTGTTCAATGATACAAAGATGGAGTGAAAAAGAAACAGAGAGAGATGGGTAGAAAAAAAAGAGATTAAATAAGTTAAAAGGGGCAGGATAAGCAAATACAAACTCCCTAGCCCTCTATCCCCTCTCTCTTTCTGTGTGATTGATTTAGAGGATAAAGATGGACATCAAAAGGTTGTATCATCATTCTCATAAAGGAGACACTATTCTGAGAAGAATCCACCTGATTGGGCATGGAACCTGCCAGTCATTCCTAAACGGTTCCTTTCACTAGACAGTGTTCTAATCAGTGAGGGGGTGGTGGGCGGAGCTATGTGCTCTATTATAATAGTGACTTCCAGGCAGTATTAGTATTTGTGCACAGTTTCATTTATTTACAAGAGTGCACACTTATTTACACATGTAAAACACTGGCAGGCATAACAACAGCATACAGTTTGACTGTGGAGACATAAGGTTTGTCATAGAAGAGCAGAGGTCATTACCACTGTTGGGTTTCCTACCAAATTCTATCCAAAAGGAGGTCAAATAACATCTGGCTATAAACTATCGACCTAAAATCATAAATAACTGTTGGAAGGTAGCAGTGGTTTGTTAAATTAAATCAGGTGGTTGATTGTTTTTGCCATATTGAACGCTAAAATCTGAGCTATAATGAGAAAATCTGAAGCTAACTTAACACATATTCTAAACACACAAACAGTAGATAATATATTACAAAGTAATTTCCCCGGTTCGGCCCAGAGACCAAAACATAGACGATACAATATAATACAGCAAGCGGGAGGGTGGGGTCGAGTCACCTTTAACCCTTGATCTCTAACCCGAGAGTGACCCCAGAAATGAACGACGGCAGGCACTTGAATGTCGTGGTTTCCTGTTTGTTTGTTTGTGAAATAGTCCGGAGAGTTGATAGTCCTCACACAAGGTTGTGTGCTCTGGGAGGAAGTTGCCTCTAAATTCTGATCTAGGATAAGCTCACCCTACCCCTAGATCCTAATCTAAACCATTAGGGGAGGAAACTCATAACTGGCCTTAGATCTATGTCTACATGCCACTTCCTCCTCAACACAATTCCGTAAGAGAAGGAGGTGAGATTAGCAATGACTTCACCCTAGTTCCCTCAGGACTCCATCTCGTCTCCATCAAACGGCAGGGGCTCGAAGCTGCAAACCTCGTCATAGGTCAACCCTGAGAGAAAGAAAGATTGAGATCAGAAGTGGCCGGAGTAGACATCTACCTAGTTTAGTGTGAGTACCATGTTAAACACAAGTGATTTTATCATCCTCCCTCCACACATTGAGTCATTTCCCTCTCTCCACCCGTCACATACTTTTCCACTCCTCTATCTCCAGCTCACGGCTCTCAAAACTCTGGTCATATGGCTCAGACTCTGGCTCATCGTCTGGGTCGTGGTACTGGGAGAAGTAGGGGTGGGCCAGGGCCTCCGACGCTGTGATCCGCTTATCAGTGTCCAGAACCAACATCTTCTCTAACAGATCCACCGCTGGAAGAAAGAAAGACACACACACACAGAGACAGAGAGACAGAGACAGAGACAAGAGACGAGAGAGAGAGAGAGAGAGAGAGAGAGAGAGAGAGAGAGAGAACAGAGTGTCTGTTTAGACAGTGTGAGTGTGTACGTTTGTGAGACACTAGACAGACTACCCCATTATTACCTAGTGGGTTAGCGCCAATGAACACTTCAGCAAAGTTCCTCTTGGGCATCTGGGGAAGGGAGTTGATGTAGTTTCTGGCCTGTTAGAGAGACACACAGAGAACGTCTCAACACCCTAGTTCCCTCAGGACTCACACAGGTTACTTCAACACTTGAACTGCTTCTGAAATCAAGTGATACCACATGTCGGCAGTGAAGATAGACTTCTGTACACTTAGGGCCTGAATCCTAACTTGAGATCAGAATGTGTAAATCAGGGGTGTCAAACTCATTTTAGCTCAGGGGCTACATGGAGGAAAATCTATTCCCAAGTGGGCCGGACCGGAAAAATCATGGTATATATACCTTAAAAACAACAACTTCAGATTGTTTTCTTTGTTTTAATACGATCAACATACAACATAAAGCTGGAGCCTGAGGACAGTGTGTCCAAAATAGTACAAGCACAACATCACTATTAATCATAAAACACGTCAAGTTTATTTGAAAATTCTACAGAAAAAGAACACACAAACACACAAGGCCTCAGTGATTAACAGAACTGTTTCACAGATCACAGAACTATATCAGGGTGTCATTTCTCAGGCAGAAATGTAGATACAAATAATGAAATCCTGTTCCCCAAACAAGTGCAAGAACGACAGAGTCAAGAATAGGTTAAATATACAAATAAAATAAAATCAATTAAAAACAATAGCACATCAACATAAAAACATATAAACATAAATCTGAAAGCGTTGCTCAAACTCCCGTAACAGTCCCGTTATTTTATCTTTGAACCGCTTCATGTCTGCCACATGTTGGGTCGCGCACACATTTTTCAGACAGGGGAAGTGAGCTGCATCACCACCGGCAAGTTGCGTCTCCCACAATGACAGCTTCAACTTGAAAGAACGTATGCTGTCATAATACTGCGTGACAACTATGTTGTGCCCTTGCAGCTGTTTGTTCAAGTTATTCAGGTGCTCTGTAACATCCACCATAAATGCAAGGTCCTGCATCCATTCTGCGGAATTAAATTCTAACACTGGTTTGCCCTTTTCTTCCATGAACTGTTCAATTTCTTCTCGTAAATCAAAGAAACGCCTCAGCACCTCGGCTTAACCATCTTACCTCAGTGTGGTATGGCAGGCCATAGATGTGGTCTTTCTCTCTGAGAAGGCTGTCAAACTGACGGTGATTCAGGCTTCTGGATCGGATTAAATTAACAGTTTGGATGACCACCTTCATGACGTTATCCATCTTTAATGACTTGCAACACAAAGCCTCCTGGTGCAAAATACAGTGAAAAGTCAAAAAATCACGTCCTCCATTTGCAGATTGCACTTTCTCTCTGAACTTTCTCACAACGCCTGCTTTTTTCCCGATCATTGAGGGCGCACCATCTGTAGCCAGGCTGACAGCGCGGGACCAGTCCACTCCGACCCTGTCCAGAGCGCCGACGAGTGCGGTAAAAATATCAGCTGCTGTCGTTGTATCTGTCATCGGCACCAACTCCACGAACTCCTCGGTGACGGTCAATGTGTCATCAACTCCGCGGATGAAAATGGCCAGTTGTGCAACATCTGTAATGTCCGTGCTTTCATCAATTGCAACCGAAAACGCAATAAATGACTTTACTTTTTGCTTCAACTGGCTGTCCAAATCCACTGAAAGATCGGAAATCCTGTCTGCAACTGTGTTTCTTGTCAGGCTGATATTTGCAAAAGCCTGCCGCTTTTCAGGGCACACAATCTCCGCTGCCTTCATCATGCATGTTTTTACAAATTCACCCTCACTAAATGGTTTTGAAGCCACTGCGATTTCATTAGCAATGAGGTAGCTAGCTTTCACTGCAGCGTCACTGATGTCTCGGCTGTGAGTAAACACAGACTGCTGTTTCTTCAGACCCGCCAACAGTTCATTCACCTTCTCTCATCTCCGCTGTCCTTGAAAGTTGTCATATTTGTCGGCATGAAGACTCACATAGTGGCGACGAAGGTTATATTCTTTCAGCACTGCAACATGCTCTGAACACACCAAACATACAGCTTTCCCATTCAATTCCGTGAATAAATAGGATGACCATTTTTCTTGGAACACTGCGTCCACTTTTCTCTTTTTTGACAGAGACATATTGGGGCAATGAGGGTGCCAAAGCACATAATGTTAAAAGTAGAAGCCGTAATAAATATCGCGGGCAAAACAAAGTAGCTCATTGGCTGCACGTGCTTGACCTACTTGCTCTGTCCCGGTATAAACAGTTTGCTTGCTTAACACAATTGCTAATGCGCCATCCAGTGGACGCAATTGGAACAGCAGTTTATTTTATTGAAAAATTGCAGCGCATTTTTATACTTTACAAAATTATATATATATATATATATATATATATATATATATATATATATATATATATATATATATATATATATATATATATATATTTTATCATCTCGCGGGCCGGATTAAACCCGTTTGCGGGCCTGATCCGAACCGCGGACCGGACGTTTGACACCCCTGGTGTAAATCATGCATTGATGCAAATGGGAGACTGAGTTACGTGCCCTGTGGCCGTATGTATCAAGCGTCTCAGTGTAGGAGTGCCGATTTAGGATCAGTTTAGCCTTTTACATCACAATGAATAGTATCCTAGATCAGCACACCTACTCTGAGACGCTTGATTAATGGCCCCAGATCTCAAGATAGGAATCTCATAGAGCACATCTAAAGGGTTATGAAGAATACTGCAGTCTGGAGCTGTAGTTTGGAAGAGAACCACTGTACACAACAACCAAACAACACATCATATAAAATCAGAACACTTCAGATCACAGAGGGGCAAGGCCAGAAAAAGTTGTCAGGAATTAGGGATTGCAAAGCACTCTGGGAAGTCGTGAGATTACGTCAGAGATACGTGTCAGACAAAAAGAGCTCTGTAGGGCCTAACAAAAGGCTGGGGGCATCATAGAGATCCTATTAAATTACTAGAGGGGCTATGTCATGAACCCAAAAAATTCCAGGATGGGGTAAAAATGGCATCCATATTGGTCAGGGAGAAATCCAAACCAGTCTAATCAGAAATGAATGGCAGTAGAGAAAGTATTCAGACCCCTTGACTTTTTCCACATTTTGATACAATGATACAATTCTAAAATGGATTAAATAAAACAATTTCCTCAGCAATCTACACATAATACCAATCGGGGGAGAAGGGTCTTGGTCAGGGAGGTGACCAAGAACCCGATGGTCACTCTGACAGAGCTCTTGAGTTCCTCTGTGGAGATGGGAGACCCTTACAGAAGGACAACCATCTCTGCAGCACTCCACCAATCAGGCCATTATGGTAGAGTGGCCAGATGGAAGCCACTCCTCAGTAAAAGGCACATGACAGCCCGCTTGGAGTTTGCCAAAAGGCACCTAAAGACTCTCAGACAATGAGAAACAAGATTCTCTGCTCTGATGAAACCAAGATTGAACTCTTTGGCCTGAATGCCAAGCGTCACATCTGGAGGAAACCTGGCACCATCCCTACGGCGAAGCATGGTGGTGGCAGCATCATGCTGTGGGGATGTTTTTCAGTGGCAGGGACTGGGAGACTTGTCAGGATCGAGGCAAAGATTAATGGAGCAAAGTACAGAGAGATCCTTGATGAAAACCTACTCCAGAGTGCTCAGGACCTGAGACTGGGGTGAAGGTTCACCTTCCAACAGGACAACGACCCTAAGCACACAGCCAAGACAACACAGGAGTGGCTTCGGGACAAGTCTCTGAATGTCCTTGAGTGGCCCAGCCAGAGCCCGAACTTGAACCCGATCGAACATCTCTGGAGAGACCTGAAAATAGCTGTACAGCAACGCTCCCCATCCAACCTGACAGAGCTTGAGAGGATCTGCAGAGAAGAATGGGGAAAAACACTACAAATACAGGTGTGCCAAGCTTGTAGCGTCATACCCAAGAAGGCTGTAATCGCTGCCAAAGGTGCTTCAACAAAGTACTGAGTAAAGGGACTGAATACTTGTGTAAATGTGATATTTAAGTTTTTTTTATTTTGTGTAGATTGGGGTATTGTGTGTAGATTGATGAGGGAAACATTTTCAATTTTAGAATAAGGCTGTAACGTAACAAAATGTGGAAAAAGTCAAGGGGTCTGAATACTTTCCAAAGGCACTGTATATCAGAAATGGTGTAATAGAATAGTCAACCTAAAATATTGTAATAGAATTATAAATACAGTTTATACAGGTTTTATACACATTTTCTGTATAAATAGCCTCTAAAATATATGTCAACCGACCATAAACGTCTAGATTTTTGTTTTCCTGGAAAGCTGTGAGTGCTACTATATGATACAATATCAGTACTTGTTGCATTTATAATATGGGGGACCCTGGGAAGGACATATCATAGTGTCTCACCTCATGGCTGGGCATCCGGCTAATGACAGAGGCCGGGGGCGTTCCTGTCAGCCTCATGATCTGCTGCAGCTGGTTAATATCTACAGCAGCCTAGGGTCAAGGGTCATAGGTCATACTGTCACACAGGTGAGAGGGTCACAGGGATGTCAAAGTGTCCCTTTTGTTGCGTGGGGGAAGGGGGGAGGGGGGGTAGACGAGAAGATATGGGGATGAGATGGAAGTAGGGAGGGGGGAGGTAGGGAGAGAATGGAGAAAGGCGGTGTCAGAGGAAGGCTCTAGTCATAGACTGTTCTCTCTGCTACCGCACGGCAAGCGGTACCGGAGCGCCAAGTCTTCTTCTACCCCCAAGCCATAAGACTCCTGTACAGCTAATACCGGACTATTTGCATCCCCCCCCACTCCCCCCCTTTTACGCTGCTGCTACTCTCTGTTTATTATCTATGCAGTCACTTTCACTCTACCCACGTGTACATATTACCTCAATTACCTGTGCCCACGCACATTGACTCTGTACCGGTACCCCCTGTATATAGCCTCATTACTGTTATTTTATTTTACTGCTGCTCTTTAATGATTTTTTTATTTTTTATTTTTTACTTAACACTTATTTTTCTTAAAACTGCATTGTTGGTTAAGGGCTTGTAAGTAAGCATTTCACTGTAAGGTCTACACCCGTTGTATTCGGCGGATGTGGCAAATAAAATTTGATTCGATTTTTTAAAAGCTGACATGCTGTATGAGGTATTATTGAATAGAGACATAACAACATGCTTTTAGAACACAGCCAGCAGAGGAACGAGTGTCAGAAGAACCGAGCGACTCTAGACGAGAGGGCAGCTCAACTCAATGACAACTAAGTCAAGGTTCTCTTGGCTTCTGTAGGGAGCAGCCCATGAAGCCCATGTATCTGGGAGATGGAAGTACACAGGAAGCTGTGGTGTTGAGTTACAGTGGCCATATAATGGTAGGACTGGAAGCGAGTATAGTAGTAATAGCTCAATAAAGAGGTTGTCATTGAAAAACAGCGGCACAACCCAAAACGCGGGCAGGCAGACAGGCGTGGAACAGAACATAGTGGAACAAGATGTAGTCCTCTGTAGCTCCATTGGTAGAGCATGGCGCTTGTAACGCCAGGGTAGTGGGTTCGATCCCCGGGACCACCCATACGTAAAAATGTATGCACTCGACTAAGTCGCTTTGGATGAAAGCGTCTGCTAAATGGCATATTATTATTTTTTATTATAAGATGGAACACTCACAGACTGAGGGGATTTTCATCAAGAGCTCAGGTTCCGGGGGTCCCATGAGGAGCATTACAAGCTTCAACTGATCAATGTCTATACCACACCAACATAAAGGGAAAACTGAGGGATGTGATGGAAGGAGGGTGAGAAGGAAGGGATGGGAGGGTAAGGAGAAGTAGGAGGAGGGATACATCTATGAGAACCTCAGATGTATACTACATGGTTTGCCCATGCAGGCAGTTAGTTATTTAGCTAAGTGCACACTTCAACTGGGTGTAGGGGATAGGGGTCAATATGGAATTGGGCCATGACAACAAGTGCTACACTTTTCTATGTCACCATGACGGCAGTGAAAGGATACGGTCGGTGCCGGGGAATAACGTCCTTCCGGTTAGCAGCTCCGCCATTATGCAGCCCACCGACCAGATGTCAACTACAAAAACAACACTGTTAGTGTCCAACTGGAACTACACATCCGCAAATCCATTTTGTATAAACATTTACACACGCAAAATGATTTATTTATTAACTCCTGGCCTATAGAATATACAGTATTTTACTTCTAGGTCGTACCTGTCATATTGCAGTGATAGAGTAATATACAGCGCATTCGGAAAGTATTCAGACCCCTTCACTTTTTCAACATTGTGTTAGGTTACAGCCTTCTTCTAAAATTGATTAAATTGTTTTTTCCCCTCATCAATATACACACACACAATACCCCATAATGACAAAGCAATAACAGAAATATGACATTCACATAAGTATTCAGACACTTTACTCAGTACTTAGTTGAAGCAGCTTTAGCAGCGATTACAGCTTCGAGTCTTCTTGTCTGGCCACTCTACCATAAAGGCCCGATTAGTGGAGGGCTGCAGAGATGGTTGTCCTTTTGGAAGTTTCTCCCATCTCCACAGAGGAACTCTGGAGCTCTGTCAGAGTGACCATCGGGTTCTTGGTCACCTCCTTGACCAAGGCCCTTCTCCCCCGATTGCGCAGTTTGGCCGGGTGGCCAGCTCTAGGAAGAGTCTTGGTGGTTCCAAACTTCTTCCATTTAAGAATAATTGAGGCCACTGTGTTCTTGGGGACCTTCAATGCTGCATAAACTTTTTGGTACCCTTCCCCAGATCTGTGCCTCCACACAATCCTGTCTTGGAGCTATACAGACAATTCCTTCGACCTCATGGCTTGGTTTTTGCTCTGACATGCACTGTCAACTGTGGGACCTTATATAGACAGGTGTGTGCCTTTCCAAATCATGTCCAATCAATTGAATTTACCACAGGTGGACTCCAATCAAGTTGTAGAAACCTCTCAAGGATAATCAATGGAAACAGGATGCACCTGAGCTCAATTTCGTGTCTCATAGCAAAGGGTCAGAATACTTATGTAAATAAGGTATTTCTGTTTAACTATACATTTGCACTCACAAAAAAATTACTGTTTTCACTTTGTCATTATGGGGTATTGTGTGTAGATTGATGAACATTTAATCAATTTTAGAATAAGGCTGTAACGTAACAAAATGTGGAAATAGTGAAGGGGTCTGAATACTTTCCTAATGTACTGTATTATAGTATATTATTACCTGTCATGTTGTAGTGCATCCAGTTAAGCATGATCTCTGGGGCGCGGTACCACCTGGTCGCTACATAACCCGTCATCTCATCATCAGTGTGTCTCGCCAAACCAAAGTCCAGGATCTGACAGACAGATGGATAGAGAGAGAGGGAGAAAGCAAGTGTGTGTGTGTGTGCACATGTGTGTGCACGAGAGAAAGAGAGAGAGAGAGAGAGATGGTTGTGTGTATGTATCAAAGGTGTGGACGCGAGTCTGACTCGAGTTACACATTTCATAACTTCAGACTCGAGTTGATAGAAAATAAAATGACTTGACTTGGAGCCTCGACTTGAGAGTGATGATTAAATTATCTGGCCAGGTTTTGTAACGTTTTGTCACTCATTTTGTGGCACAGAGTCTCAGTGGATTACTCTCCATGCAGCCAGAGTCAGCATTAAAAAATAATGTGCAACAGATTAGTTAGTGAAACACACACACTTGGCCCTCTGATTGGACCAGCAAACTGTCAATCAACACAGGTTGGGTGAGCTAGCGAACAGATTGCTATCACTGGCAAACGTGTGGCAAGCTGGCATTTGCCCAAGCAATTTCAATCAGGTGGAGCAGTGAAATATTGAAAGTATTGACACAAAAGTGTTAAAAAGAGTCATGATTTGTTAACTCACGCACTGCTCTCCACTGTCCTCCGGTATTTTATTTATTTAGCAAACGTGTTAACACATCACTCCCGTCAGACAAGCGAGAACTTTCGCAGAAATGTTGCAGCAGCCTACACCTACACATTTTCGATCTGACATGCTGTATGGGAAAAAGACGAGAACATTTTTCAGTCTGATCAACTAGACTACTGATAACCAAATGAGCCTGTCCCCTCTGGCCAGTTTAACGAAGTGGTAACGGCAGGTAGCTTAGTGGTTAAGAGCGTTGTGCCAGTAACCGAAAGGTCGCTGGTTCTAATCCCTGAGCCGACTAGGTGAAAAATCTGTCGATGTGCCCTTGAGCAAGGCACTTAACCCTAATTGCTCCTGTAAGTCGCTCTGGATAAGAGCGTCTGCTAAATGACAAAAATGTAAATGTAAATGTAACGTTATGTAGCCTATTTATGTGTTAGATTAGGAGACAATTTGAATGTAGGCTAATCAAATTTGGTTTATGCTATATTCAAACTTGGGAAGGCTACCTTGATCTTTTCAATCCAAAATTATTAACTGAAATTAATCAAAACAATACGGACGGCAGACTGTGTGAGCTACTTTTCAATTACAGTTGCATAGGCCTACATGATGCAAATCTGCATAAAGCAAGCTCAGCCCTGCGAGTTATATTGTCCAATTGCAGTTTTTGTCTCTGTGTCTGTGTAAATGAAGCCTCCCTGTTAGTCTAGTTTAAAAATATAATTCATATGAACAAGTACAAGGTTTCTGCAATTTGAGAGGGTTTTCATCCTCCCTAGGTTGAGGAGTGTTACCAGAAGTACAAAAAAACAACAAAAAATATTTGACCTGATTAGAAAATCTCTAGGCCCATCATAGCCCATTTAAAACGGTTTCACAACTGATTAATCACTGTCATACCCTATAGGGTCTGGATTTATACCTGGTTAGTTTACCAGATTAGGAAAAACTCTGGGCCCAAGCAAAAAATTTTTTGCCCCACCACTCTGGGTCCTGTGGTGCCACCTCGGGCTGATTTGCTGTACAGCTATGGGATCGGGTGCAGTGCAAATGTCAAATTGTAGGGAGAGAGGATTGCCATAAATAAATATGCAGCTCCAAAAATGTTAACTGTTTACTTTGCAAGCACACCAGCAATGGGGCATCAAGCAACAATTACTAGCATAGGCCTACTGGTCTTTTGGTATGAAATTGCTTGAAATGTATAATTTACTTATGAAGCTTGCATTTGGAATTTGTTGTTAAAATTAATAAGGATAATCAAAATATGTTGTAGACAAAATAATGAAAAGAGCTGTCTGGTAGTCTCAATAAATAGACAAAGACTTGTTGTTGAACAGATTTTTTTACTAGACTTGTGACTCGACTTGCTCTTAGAATGCACGGCTTGGGCTTGACTCGAGACTCGACCCGTTCTACTTGGGACTCAACTTGAGACTCTGACCATTCTTGTGACACGAATAATAGTGACTTCGTCCCATCTCTGGTGTTTACAGTGCCTTTAGAAAGTGACTTATTCTACATTTTGTTGTGTTATAGCCTGAGTTCAAAATTGATTACATTGATTTATTTTCACACAATACCCAATAATGACAAAGTGAAAACATATTTATATATATTTTTCAAATGTATTGAAAAATGAAATACAGAAATCTCATTTACATAACTATTCACACCCGAGTCAATACTTTGTAGAAGCACCTTTGGCAGCGATTACAGCTGTGAGTCTTTCTGGGTAAGTCTCTAAGAGCTTTACACACCTGGATTATGCAATATTTGCACATTATTATTTTCAAAATTCTTCAAGCTCTGTCAAATTGGTTGTTGATCATTGCTAGACAACCATTTTCAGGGCTTCCCATAGATTTTCTAGTAGATTTAAGTCAAAACTGTAACAGCCACTCAGGAACATTCCATATCTTCTTGGTAAGCAACTCCAGTGTAGATTTGGCCTTGTGTTTTAGGTTATTATCCTGCTGAAAGGAGAATTAATCTCCCAGTATCTGGTGGAATACAGACAACCAGGTTTTCCTCTAGGATTTTGCCTGTGCTTAGCTCCATTCTGTTTCTTTCTTATCCTGAAAAACTCCCCAGTCCTTAACGATTACAAGCATACTCATAACATGATGCAGGAACCACTACGCTTGAAAATATGGAGAGTGGTACTCAGTAATGTGTTGTATTGGATTTGCCCCAAACATAATACTTTGTATTCAGGAGAAAAAGTGAATTGCTTTACCACATTTTTTAAAATTATTACTTTAGTGCCTTGTTGCAAACAGGATGCATGTCGTGGAATATTTTTATTCTGTACAGGCTTCATTATTTTCACTCTCTCAATTAGGTTAGTATTGTGGATTAACTACAATGTTGTTGATCCATCCTCAGTTTTCTCCTATCACAGCCATTAAACTCTGTAACTGTTTTAAAGTCACCATTGGCCTCATGGTGAAATCCCTGAGCGGTTTCCTTTCTCTTCGGCAACTGAGTTAGGAAGGACGCCTGTATCTTTGTAGTGACTGGGTGTATTGATACACCATTCAAAGCGTAATTAATAACTTCACCATGCTCAAAGGGATATTCAATGTTAGCATTTTTTTTACCCATCAACCAATAGGTGCTCTTATTTGAAAGGCATTGGAAAACCTCCCTGGTCTTTGAGGTTGAATCTGTGTTTGAAATTCACTGCTTGACTGAGGGACCTTACAGATAATTGTACAGTTGAAGTCGGCAGTTTACATACACTTAGGTTGGAGTCATTAAAACTTGTTTTTCAACCACTCCACAAATTTCTTGTTAACAAACTATAGTTTTGGCAAGTTACTAGGACATCTACTTTGTGCATGACACAAGTAATTTTTCCAACAATTGTTTACAGACAGATTATTTCACTTATAATTCACTGTGTCACAATTCCAATGGGTCAGAAGTTTACATACACCAAGTTGACTGTGCCTTTAAACAGCATGGAAAATTCCAGAAAATGATGTAATGGCTTTAGAAGCTTCTGATAGGATAATTGACATCATTTGAGTCAATTGGAAGTGTACCTTTGGATGTATTTCAAGGCCTACCTTCAAACTCAGTGCCTCTTTGCTTGACATCATGGGAAAATCAAAAGAAATTAGCCAATACCTCAGAAAAATTATTGTAGACCTCCACAAGTCTGGTTCATCCTTGGGAGCAATTTCCAAACGCCTGAAGGTACCACGTTCATCTGTACAAACAATAGTATGCAAGCATAAACACCATTGGACCACGCAGCCGTCATACCGCTCAGGAAGGAGACGCGTTCTGTCTCCTAGAGATGAACGTACTTTGGTGCGAAAAGTGCAAATCAATCCCAGAACAACAGCAAAGGACCTTGTGAAGATGCTGAAGGAAACAGGTACAAAAGTATCTATATCCACAGTAAAACGAGTCCTATATCGACATAAACTGAAAGGCCGCTCAGCAAAGAAGAAGCCACTGCTCCAAAACCGCCATAAAAAAGTCAGACTACGGTTTGCAACTGCACATGGGACAAAGATCATACTTTTTGGAGAAATGTCCTCTGGTCTGATGAAACAAACATAGAACTGGTTGGCCCATATGACCTCGTTTATGTTTGGAGAAAAAGGGGGTTTCTTGGAAGCCGAAGAACATGCGGGGTGGCAGCTTTGTGTCAGTGAAGGGATGATGCACTTCACAAATGATGGCAATGAGAAGAAATAGTGACAACAAACATCTCAAGACATCAGTCGAAGTTAAAGTGGTCGCATGGATCAAAGGACAGCGCCCACTACTTCCAATTGGCAAATGGCTTAAGGACAACAAGTCAAGGTATTGGAGTGGCCATCACAAAGCCCTGACCTCAATTCCTATAGAACATTTGTGGGCAGACCTGAAAAAGCGTGTTGCGAGCAAGGAGGCCTACGAACCTGACTCAGTTACACCAGCTCTGTCAGGAGGAATGGGCCAAAATTCACCCAACGTATTGTGGGAAGCTTGTGGAAGGCTACCCAAAACGTTTGACCCAAGTTAAACAATTTAAAGGCAATGCTACCAAATACTAATTGAGTGTACGTAAACTTCTGACCCACTGGGAATGTGATGAAAGAAATAAAAGCTGAAATAAATCATTCTCTCTACTATTATTCTGACATTTCACATTCTTAAAATAAAGTGGTGATCCTAACTGACCTAAGAAAGGGAATTTTTACTAGGATTAAATGTCAGGAATTGTGAAAAACAGAGTTTAAATGTATTTGGCTATGGTGTATGTAAACTTCCGACTTCAACTGTATGTGTGGTACAGAGATGACGTAGGCATTCAAAAATCATGTTAAACACTATTATTGAGTCCATGCAACTTATGTGACTTGTTAAGCACATTTGTACTCCTGAACGTATTTAGGCTAACAATGGGGTTTGACATTGTAAAACCTTTAAAAAAACATAATTCCACTTTGACATTATGGGGTATTGTGTGTAGGCCAATGACAAAAAATCTTTAATCCATTTTAAATTCAGGCTGTAACAACAAAATATGGAAAACGTCAATGGGTGTGAATACTTTCTGAAGGCACTGGTGTGTGTGTGTGTGTATATGTATATATATATATATATATATATACACACACACACACACACACACATACACACAGTGCCTTCGGAAAGTATTCACAGCCCTCGACTTTTTCTACATTTTGTTACATTACAGCTTTATTAAAAATTGATTAAATAAATAACAATCCTCAGCAATCTACACACAATACCCCATAATGACAAAGCAAAAACAGGTTTAGACATTTTTGCAAATGTATTAAAAATAAAATATAAATACCTTATTTACATAACTATTCCGATCCTTTGCTATAAAACACAAAATTGAGCTCAAGTGCATCCTGTTTCCATTGATCATCCTTGAGATGTTTCTACAACCTGATTGGAGTCCACCTGAGGTAAATTCAATTGATTGGACATGATTTAGAAAAGGCACACACCTGTCTATATAAGGTCCCACAGTTGACAGTGGATGTCAGAGCAAAAACCAAGCCATGAGGTCGAAGGAATTGTCCGTAGAGCTCCGAGACAGGATTGTCGAGGCACAGATCTGGGGAAGGGTAACAAAAAATGTCTGCAGCATTGAAGGTGCCCAAGAACACAGTGGCCTCCATAATTCTTAAATGGAAGAAGTTTGGAACCACCAAGACTCTTCCTAGAGCTGGCCACCCGGCCAAACTAAGCAATCGGGAGAGAAGGACCTTGGTCAGGGAGATGACCAAGAACCCGTGGATCACTCTGACAGATCTCTAGAGTTTCTCTGTGGAGATGGGAGAACCTTCCAGAAGGACAACCATCTCTGCAGTACTGCACCAATCAGGCCTTTATGGTAGAGTGGCTTTTAGACCATGAGAAACAAGATTCTCTGGTCTGATGAAACCAAGATTGAACTCTTTGGCCTGAATGCCAAGCGTCATGGCTGGAGGAAACCTGGCACCATCCCTACGGTGAAGGATGGTGGAGGCAGCATCATGCTGTGGGGATGTTTATCAGCGACAGGGAGACTAGTCAGGATTGAAGCAAAGATGAAAGGAGCAAAGTACAGAGAGATCCTTGATGAAAACCTGCTCCACAGCGCTCAGGACCTCAGACTGGGGCGAAGGTTCACCTTCCAACAGGACAACAACCCTAAGCACACAGCCAAGACAACACAGGGCTTTGTTGGGCCAGTAACCGAAAGGAATCCCCGAGCTGACAAGGTAAAAAGCTGTCATTCTGCCCCTGAGCAAGGCAGTTAACCCACTGTTCCCCGGGCGCAGAAGACGTGGATGTCGATTAAGGCAGCCCTCCCCACCTCTCTGATTCAGAAGGGTTGGGTTAAATGCGGAAGACACATTTCAGTTAAATGCATTCAGTTGTACAACTGACTAGGTATCCCTTTTTCCCTTTCCTTTCAGGACAAGTCTCTGAATGTCCTCGAGTCGCCCAGCCAGAGCCCAGACTTGAACCCGATCAAAAATCTCTGGAGAGACCTGAAAATAGCTGTGCAGCAACGCTCCCCATCCAACCTGACAGAGCTTGAGAGGATATGCAGAGAAGAATGGGAGAAACTCCCCAAATACAGGTGTGCCAAGCTTGTAGCGTCATACCCAAGAAAACTAGAGGCTGTAATCGCTGCCATTAGTACTTCAACAAAGTACTGAGTAAAGGGTCTGAATACTTACGTAAATGTGATCTTTTTTTTTTTTTATATACATTTGCAGAAATGTCTAAAAACCTGTTTTTGCTTTGTCATTATGGGGTATTGTGTGTAAATTGATGAGGGGGAAAACATATTTAAATCAATATTAGAATAAGGCTGTAACCTGTACAGTACCAGTGATATACAGTACCAGTCAAAAGTTTGGACACACCTACTCATTCGAGGGTTTTTCTTTATTTTCACTATTTTCCACATTGTAGAATAATAGTGAAGACATCAAAACTATGAAATAACACATATGGAATCATGTAGCAACCTAAAAAGTGTTAAACAAATCTAAATATATTTTATATTCTTTAAAGTAGCCACCATTTGCCTTGATGACAGCTTTGCACACTCTTGTCATTCTCTCAACCAGCTTTACTTGGAATGCTTTTCAAACAGTTTTGAATGAGTTCCCACATATGCTGAGCACTTGTTGTGTGCTTTTCCTTCACTCTGTGGTCCAACTCATCCCAAACCATCTCAATTGGGTTGAGGTCAGGTGATTGTGGAGGCCAGGTCATCTGATGCAGCAATCCATCACCCTCCTTCTTGGTCAAATAGCCCTTACACAGCCTGGAGGTGTGTTGGGTCATTGTCCTGTTGAATAACAAATGATAGTCCCACTAAGTCCAAACCAGATGGGATGGCGTATCACTGGAGAATGCTGTGGTAGCCATGCTGGTTAAGGGTGAATTCTAAATAAATTACAGAGAGTGTCACCAGCAAAGCACCCCCACACCATCACACCTCCTCCTCCATGCTCCACGTGGGAACCACACATGCAGAGATTTTCTGTTCACCTACTCTGCGTCTCACAAAGACACGGCGGTTGGAACCAAAAATCTCAAATTTGGACTCATCATACCAAAAGGACAGATTTCCAACTGTCTAATGTCCATTGCTTGTGTTTCTTGGCCCAAGCAAGTCTCTTCTTCTTATTGGTGTCCTTTAGTAGTGGTTTCTTTGCAGTAATTTGACCATGAAGGCCTGATTCACGCAGTCTCCTCTGAACAGTTGATGTTGAGATGTGTCTGTTACTTGAACTCTGTGAAGCATTTATTTAGGCTGCAATTTCTGAGGCTGGTAACTCTAATGAACTTATCCTCTGCAGCAGAGGTAACTCTGGATCTTCCATTCCTGTGGTGGTCCTCATGAGAACCAGTTTCATCAAAGCGCTTGATGGTTTTTGCGATTACACTTGAAGAAACGTTCAAAGTTCTTGACATTTTCCGTATTGACCGACCTTCATGTCTTAAAGTAATGATGGACTGTCGTTTCTCTTTGCTTTTTTTAGCTGTTCTTGCCATAATATGGACTTGGTCTTTTACCAAATAGGGCTATCTTCTGTATACCAACCCTACCTTGTCACAACACAACTGATTGGCTCAAACACATTAAGGAGGAAAGAAATTCCACAAATTAACACCTGTTAATTGAAATGCATTCCAGGTGACTACCTCATGAAGCTGGTTGAGAGAATGCCAAGAGTGTGCAAAGCTGTCATCAAGGCAAAGGGTGGCTACTTTGAAGAATCACAAATATAAAATATATTTTGATTTGTTGAACACTTTTTTGGTTACTACATGATTCCATAGGAGTTATTTCATAGTTTTGATGTCTTCACTATTATTCTACAATGTGGAAAATAGTAAAAATAAAGAAAAACCCTTGAATGAGTAGGTGTGTCCAAACTTTTACTAGCTGGAGAGGAGAAGCAGTTCAGCGCAGTTGAAAATAAGGTATGGGTAAGGAAACCAATATATAAATAATGTTTAAATTGGGTGAAATATCCCTTTTAGTTAGGCAGACTGGTATAATAGATCAATAAACTTTCTCACTTTGAGTTCACAGTCCTCATTCACTGCCAAGTTACTGGGCTTCAGATCCTGTGGAGGGAAGGAGAGAGGGGAGAATAAGGTATTGAGTATACACTAACACTGTCGGGTATTCCTATTTCCCTCCACCCCATGCAAGCATCTTGACTTAAATATTGATGTAAATATGATGTAACTTACTCTGTGGATGATGTCTGCTGAATGGATATACTGCAAAACAAAAACCGACAACTATTTACAACTGCATACCTATGAAAACCTATACCTGCACCTATGAAAACACACACGTGAACACAGGGGCAAAACACACACGCCTACCTTGAGACCCCTGAGGATCTGGTATATGAGGAACTGAACGTGGTCGTCCGTCAGTTTCTGACACTTGACGATATTGTTGAGGTCCGCCCCCATCAGGTGGGTCACCAGGTACCTGCCAATCACAACCCCCAAAAAGGTAAGACGGGTTGTTACCATGCAATGTTACCCCATTATTAATTTAGCAGCAGCGGGCCACTGCTGTTAAATCATTGCCGCCACTCCCCTCCCCCCCAAAAATAAAATAATATATTTATTTATTTAAAAAATAATACATAAATAAAAATTTGGGGTGGTAAAACGTTTTCAGTGTAAACTTAAATGACTAAAACCAGATATAAAGTATTTATGTAGAAAATATAATAGAGCTATAATTCTTTTTTAAAATAAGATCATCTTTGAGAACCAACAAAAATTTGACAGTCAGGAAGGCATGAGGCCCTCAATGATTTTGTTATAATGTTTGAGTCACTCAAATAGCATAAAACAGCATAAGCCATGGCACATTTTTGAGAATTGCAGGAAATGACCTTTAAAACAGCAAACAAATTATATCTGTGGCCTCTGAAATGTTTGGTCAGAGACCGCACCATTGGCCACCCCCCACCCCACGCTAACTTTGCCTCCGCTGCTGAAAAAAATCCTAAGGGAAACACTGCCATGGCAGCAACACGACATTGGTGGAGAGAGAGAACGAGAGAGTGTGTGTCTCCTCTGCCAGCACTACAAATTACAAGCAGTAAACACTGCTAAGTGCTTTACAGCTCCTTTAGGGTGAACCAGGGAGAGTTATGAGAGAGAGAGAGCGAGTGTATAACAGGCATCCTATCCTAGACCAATGAGAAGTGAAAGTTAGTACTTCAGTATTCTGCACACACACGTACTGGAAGCCACAGAGACAGTGGAATGCTTGTTACCATGGAAATAAGGAATAATGTGCAGTATGTGTGCACGTGGTAACCCACCATGTATCTCAGTGAGACGAATCACACCACCAAACACATGAAATAAAGACCTGCAGAAATAGGTTTGTTTAAATATAATACAGCTGGGAATTGCCAGGGACCTCACGATATGATATTATCACGATACTTAGGCATAGATATGATATTGCGATTCTATATTATCACGATTCTATATGTATTGCGATTCGATACTGACATTTTATTGTGATTCGATGTTCCAAACATATTGCTCCATATATGTCTGCTGCAGAGGAAAAGGAGAGAACCATAAGAAAACAAGTTTTGGAGATAAAAGTGCTCAAAACATGTTGGCACACCATTTAAAACATTTTAAAAGAAGATGGAGACAAGCTATAGGATGAGAAATACGGAGTTTAGGTACAGCCGACTAGCGCTAGCTAACGTTACCTAGCTAGCAAAAAAAGTTACATTTTACAAATCGACACTTGGAGTCACAGGGCTCTATAAGTAGGCGCAAGTGTTGAATGCACCTTAGTTTGCAATTTCGCGATGGTAAAACTGGCGCACTGGCATTTTCACCCCTTACGCCAGGTTCTGCAATTTACCTGTCCAATATCAGCTCATTTGCATTGAGGTGGGAGGGGTGGCGAGATTTGATGTGTGTCCTTAAAAACAAGCGCAAAAGTGGCAATTTCATGCAGCACTAAATGGAAGTTGAGACCCATCAAAAGCAGGTCTTAACGGTAACGCATTTGGTAATGGCATGGATTTTGAGAGCGGAAGTGCAGCCTATCCAGCCGTGAAGCACAGTGCCCATGGAACGAGAGATGTGCCTTTTGTGCCGTGAATCTCGTGTTTAGAAACAAAAAAATTATTGGTTTCCCCCCCCCCATTTCGTTGAATTTTGCTTGTTCAAGTAGGCTATCCATTCCCATTTTCAAAGAGCGCCCCTCGTCCGATTACTAAAGACGCGCTCCTCCAAACTATTCAGTCCTCCTATAATGCCATATCAACAGCTGATATTTTTTTTATGTGTCTGGGAATGATACAATTGACAGGAGAGTAGTATTTTGTATAGATGTGCGAATGTTGTACGTAATCACATTTAGGGCTGTGTGCACACGGTGCCATGGAACAAGAGATGTGATTTATGATATCATGCTTCTGACTCCATCCTATTTAGAAATATTGTTGTCGTTTTAAAAACAGATTGCTTGTTTTTCGTTTCATTGGATTTAAAAAATAAACAATCATAGCCTCCCCTCAATGAAGGCTGTTTTTTTTTACATGACCAATGCATTCGCCAAATAGCAGACTATCAATAAAGGGTTTGGCTCGTGAGAGTGCTTTGAAATAAATATTAAATCAACAAAGCTTTAGTGAAAGATCAAGTTTAGGAGCAGCAAAACAGTGAGAGGACGTACCCTTTTTATCATTATTTTAGCCAGCTCCCGTTATTATTTTGGATGTGCGTAAAAGCCTCCATAGTCTTAATATTATATGCCCACCGGGAGCAATTATGGTGCCTGTAACTGTATTTAAACATAGCCTATTTAAAATAAGTTGTTGTTTCGTATTGATTAGAATTATTCACTCTCCTTTTAAGCATCATCAATAGGGAATTTTATCTTGCTTATTCACAACGTTTGGCATGTCGATAGCTCAGACATGGCAGACATAATGCAATTTACAGTGCATTCGGAAAGTATTCAGACCCTTTTACTTTTCCACATTTTGTTACGTTACTCTAAAATGTATAAAATAAATATTCTTCCTCCTCAATCTACACACAATACACCATAACGACAAAGAAAAACTGTTTTTTAGAAATTTTTGCAAATGTATTGAAACTAAAACAGTAATACCTTATTTACATAAGTATTCAGACCCTTTGCTATGAGACTCGAAATTGAGCTCAGGTACATCCTGTTCCCATTGATCATCCTTGAGATGTTTCTACAACTTGATTGGAGTCCACCTGTGGTAAATTCAATTGATTGGACATGATTTGGAAATGCACGCACCTGTCTATATAAGGTCCCACAGTTGACAGTGCATGTCTGAGCAAAAACCAAGCCATGAGGTTGAAGGAATTGTCCGTAGAGCTCCGAGACAGGATTGTGTCGAGGCACAGATCTGGAGAAGGACACCAAAAAAATGTCTGCAGCATTGAAGGTCCAAGAACACAGTGGCCTCCATCATTCTTAAATGGAAGAAGTTTGGAACCACCAAGACTCTTCCTAGAGCTGGCCGCCCGGCCAAACTGAGCAATCAGGGGAGAAGGGCCTTGGTCAGGGAGGTGACCAAGAACCCGATGGTCACTCTGAAGGAGCTCCAGAGTTCCTCTGTGGAGATGGGAGAATCTTCCAGAAGGAAAACCATCTCTGCAGCACTCCACCAATCAGACCTTTATGGTAGAGTGGCCAGAGGGAAGCCACTCTAAAAAGGCACATGACAGCCCGCTTTGCGTTTGCCAAAAGGCACCCAAAGACTCTCAGACCTTGAGAAACAAGATTCTCTGGTCTGATGAAACCAAGATTGAACTCTTTGGCCTGAATGCCAAGCATCACGTCTGGAGGAAACCTGGCACCATCCCTACGGTGAAGCATGGTGGTGGCAGCATCATGCTGTGGATATGTTTTTCAGCGGCAGGGACTGGGAGACTAGTCAGGATCAAGGCAAAGATGAATGGACCAAAGTACAGAGAGATCCTTGATGAAAACCTGCTCCAGAGCGCTCAGGACCTCAGACTGGGGCGAAGGTTCACCTTCCAACAGGACAACAACCCTAAGCACATAGCCAAGACAACCCAGGAGTGGCTTCAGGACAAGTCTCTGAATGTCCTTGAGTGGCCCAGCCAGAGCCCGGACTTGAACCCGATCAAACATCTCTGGAGAGACCTGAAAATGTCTGTGCAGCGACGCTCCCCATCCAACCTGACAGAGCTTGAGAGGATCTGCAGAGAAGAATGGGAGAAACTCCCCAAATACAGGTGTGCCAAGGTTGTAGCGTCAAACCCAAGAAGACTCGAGGCTGTAATCGCTGCCAAAGGTGCTTCAACAAAATATTGAGTAAAGGGTCTGAATACTTATGTAAATATGATATTTCAGCTTTTTATTTTTAATAACTTTGCTAAGATTTTCTTTTTTAATGGTTTTTGCTTTGTCATTATGGGGTATAGTGTGTAGATTGATGAGGGGAAAAAACAATTTAATTAATTTTAGAATAAGGCTGTAACATAACAAAATGTGTAAAAAGTCAAGGGGTCTGAATACTTTCCAAATGCACTGTACAGTAGGCCTAGCCTATATATGAGTGCGATATATAATATATTTCCATATAAAAGTCATGCATTTAGGCTTCTTACAATGTGGACTTAGCAAAGATGGGATAGGCCTACATACATGTTGTTATTTTGTTTCTGTAGGCTATTTAACAAATTAGACTATAATGGACTAACATTCGAATTGGAGTTGATGACAACGCAATACATAAGACTGTAAATACTCAACTTGAAGCAACCACATATTTATCCATGGAGCACATTCTGATTGGCCAGTGAAGGGGTCAAGCCTTGACACACCTACAACTTGTTAATTCATCAAAACCCAGCTACTGTGCCCATAATTCCGGTTGTGAAAATAGCAAAAATATTTGACACACCCCGGAACCTATGACGCTACCGCCAGCGCTTAGATTTACCATTGCGATAGGTTTGTTAAAATGGAGCCCACAGTATCGATATAAAATCTGGAAAAATAATAATCGCAATACTCTACTGTAGGCTCTAAATACCGTATACCGTATACTCTACAATACTCTAAATACCATATACCGGGGTATTTGGAAAAAGCCACAGGATTTTTTCAATACCGTCAAAAGTTTATATTTGTAGCTACTTTTTAAGTTATTACCTGCAGTCACCTTGTGCAATACCTTAGGAGATAAATCAGATTGCGTTCTTCATTTCCCCGGTCACATTCTTTTAAATTATTAAGGTTACTGTAGATCACCAAAACAGTTGAGCCAGTCACTGTGTTTGTTTGTAAATAGCACAACGGGAGAAAGTGAGCTGGTGAATCCATAGCGTTCTATATCTATCGGTGCGTCTCTATTGTGTGGTGCACATGAGGAGATGAAGTTACACTTGTATGCAATTCACTACTAAATGTTTGCCATCAGATATCTTATAATGGCTTCCTGCCAGAAGACAAAGAGCTCTGGATGAGTTATCTGTACAGCTGCCATTTTTTCCCTGTGCTTCCTACTAGCGTTTTTTCCTCTCCTCAGTTCTTCTCCCATCTGCTCCGTGTACGCATCCTGCTCTTCCTTCAGAAAAGCATGCATCACAACTTTGTTCATTTGCACAATTTATCTCGTTCACTTTCGCTTGTAGCTACACTTGTATAACTTTATGAGCTGGATTTGCCCGTCTTTGCAATTAGTTTGTTAGTTTTCGCTCGTTAACATTTAGCTAACAGCGTCTATGTGATTTCGCTAACAGCGTCTATGTGATTTCGCTATTAGTTTGTTCCAATTTTGTTAGCATTCCGGTAATAGAGGCCCAATGGCTTTTATTGTGTTTTTAGTGCCCCCTTGTGTGCTATGCTGGTAATACCGCAAATCCTGGTATGAGAGAAGGACGGTACGACAATTGAAAATCTGGATACAGCCCAAGCCTTACTGTATCAATTTTTTCCCCCATCCCTATAACATATACCTGTGCATGTATGTGTTCTGCTAGGCAAATTGAACTCCTATTCAACAGCTATTTGAATTGCCAGAGAGAGGGGGGGGGGGGGGTAGAAATGGAGTGCGAGCGAGCGAGAGAGAGAACAAGAAAGATGTTACTCACACGTCGTTGAACTCCTCTAGGCTGGTGGCGGGCGTGAACACATCCAACAGACCAATCACCTGACAGAAAGAAGAAGTCAAAGGTTAGACAACATTCTAAACACAACTCACATTGCAAATGACTCATACTACAGACAAAACATTTACAAACACAACATGTGGTCTTCTTCCAACTGCTAAAATCCCTCAGGGTGAATGAGGCAATATGCAGAGTGCACAAACAGAGGGGAATGGTTTCTGCATTTGTCTTTGTGCAAAGAAAAGTAGAGACTTCTTAGTGTGAGACTGTGCTACCGCCCGTTGTCCTTGACATGGTCTTTCACTGTGTTTAATAACCATCAGATAAAGGTCGCTTTGACAACCAACAACATCACATTTCATCAAACAAAGATTATGGATTTTTGGATGCAGTCATGGCAGGTCGTTCTAAAGCTTTGGAACAGAGCCTAAACCACTGTTCTGCTCTCAACACAGGACAGACAGTACGCAGTGACAGTCAGGGATCTGTGACACAGGCTAATTCACTCATAGTGTGTGTGTGTGTGTGTGTTGCTGTTAACACAGGAGAAAGTGATGACTGAACTCTGAACAGGAAATCATGCAGAATGCAATAAAACAGAAAGAGAGAGGCAGAGGGAGAGAGAACGAGAGGGAGAGAGGCATAGATAGAGAAAGCGAGCGAGAAAGAAAGAAAGCGAGCGAGAGAGAGAGAAGAGCTAGCATGCAGGCAATGTGTGGGTGGCTAGAGAGGAGTTGAGGAGAGGAGAGAGGACAGAGGGAGGAGGCAGACGTCGGTGCCAGACCCAGTGTGCCCCCCTCTAGAGAAACTGACTGAGGTGGGTGGGTGTCATAACAACTCGACTCCACACCGCCCATGCAGGGCAGAGCCCTCTGCGATTGGTGGAATCCAGCCAAAACAAAGTGATTGGCTGACTCAGGCTTTCCAAAAAACATAACCTGCAGTATAACCAGGCAACAGCGGGGAAATTAGCTCAGAGAATAACAGAGAATAAGAGGGTCAAGACTCAAGAGCTGTGTCAGGTGGATCACACTGTTATCTACTCTACTGTTCCCTTCCCTGCTGCTAAGAGCTAACTGTTACCTAAACTCAAAGAGAAGTTTTAACAACTCAAACCCACACTCTCTGTGGCAGGTGTATCCTACTGTATTCTACTGTTGCCTGCAGTTGAGCGTTACCTAAAGTCACAGAGAGACAATTTTTTTTATTTTGAAAAGACCTTCTGCACAATCACCACAGTCAGCACTGTCAGATTCAGATGATTTTATTGCCATCTGCCACACACAACCACAGTTTAGTGGCATTTGCTGTCGGTGCAGCAGCATGGTAAAACTCTTAAGTTAGACTCTGGGTTAAACCCCTATCATCTTCAACTTGACCACGACACACAGCAGTTGACCTAATGTGTTCAGCTTCACCACCACTGAATCATTCAGTGAAACCTCACACCCCTGAAGGAAGAGATTCGCTGCAGTGTTGTTTACACCATTGCTTTATGCAGAGTTAACTTCCCTTCACACCACAATCATAACAGGCATACTATCTGTTGTAACCAGTGGTTGCAAATGTTAAGTCTTGCGTTTACAGCACCATACCACAGTGAGAGTGAAATCAGTGAGCAGGACTGATGTTTTAATAATCTGTCGTGACGTGCCTTTCATTATTGTGATGACTATTATTTATCGAATAATTACCTACTATGTTTAATTGTTACTAGATTAAATTAATCATGTAACAATTAACTCATTAGGAATTTGGGGCACCACGAGAAAAGTTGTTTAATGAGTTACCGTTTTCCGAATTAACTCTAAAGATATCTCGTCATTTAACAGTCATTTATTAATAATTTGCCTCATATCAGTCTCATTCTGAAAGTCGTAGACTAAGTCTGCACGAACCCGGGTCTTACTGATCATTCCATACCACACAAATTGATTTAATTATTTATTTACTAACTAATTAAAATGATAACACAAGATACAAACACATACACAGTATAGGTAGGGATTACAAACGTAATACAATGAAATGACACTTGTTACAAAAGATGGCACGTTAAAGAGAGAGAGAGAAAAACACTTGGATACACATGGACCTATTCTCATAGTAATCCTAATACTTTGCCCAGAACTGCCGCCCGTTTCGTAAGAAGTAATGCATGTATTTACGTGTTTGTCTTCGTCGTCTCTGTTGGACCCAGGACTTTGTGGGAAGGGTCGAATGGCCTTCTCTTTTCGGATGGCCTTATAGATGTAAGGCTCAGCTTGTCCACAAGAGGTCACAATGTCCTTCTTCTTAGTCATCTGTTTACTTTCACTCGTTCTGGAAGTGGTACGGCTGATCATGTGATGAGAGCAGCGTAGCAGACGATGGTTTGAAGAGAGTAACAGGATGGTCCGACTTAAATTCACCTTCTTAGATACAGTACTTAGAACAGCTACTCAGCCGTAACATTGATCGTTAGTGGAGGCAACTTTGTCGTCTTCACCTCGTGTTGATTTTCAGGGTCGGGACCAATATGGACAAAAGCTGCAGCTTGAGGTCCGTCTAGTCTGATCTGATCATTCTTATCTCAGTCTTTTATGCTCTCTGGTAAAGAGGGGCGTTTCGGTCATACTGACACGCTCTCTGAGCTCCCTCGGGCGTGGCTAGTTACGAGGCAAAAGTATTATTATCACTATGATTTTGTTCAAAAGCTAAAATCACATTCCTATCTTCATGAAAACATTGTCTTCCTCCTTGATATTTTCTACACAACGAAAAGGATGTAAACCTGATATACACAGTGTAAAAGCTCTCAAAGTCACAATGTTTTCATTATAACGCCTTTATAAATGTTTTAATGACATCACAAAATAGACATTAATTTTCCATATTCAATTTCTCATCATTCCCAACGTTTGGATGTTGAAATATATTGTCCCAATGTTCCTTTCACCATACTAGAGGGCCAGAGACAGATTCTCCTATCTCCAATTTATGGCAGTATTAAGGTGTCAAGACCGGCACAGCCCCCCCTGTAGGTAAGAGGGTTGGGTTGTTGTCGGCCATTTGCCAAGCTGATATGAGGCCTTTGATCCTCACCCAGGGAGAGACATGACAACACATACTTCTTCCACTTGACCCCCTTCACACACACACACTCATGCGCACACACACAAACAGACATGTCTACTCCATCTGCTCTTTAGCTTAAGAGATAGCAATCAATAGCCTTTCATAACACACATATACAGTACCACAGTAAGCTTCAGTATCTCTCACTCTGAGGTCAGGTCAGCTTGCCCCAGAGTGGAGGCTGATGGCGGTAACACACATATGCATGGGCGCGTGCACACACAACAGATTTTTCAGAAATCCCGGTTGGAGGATTCTTGGAACATGAATAAGCAGGGAGGGAATCCTCTAGGCTCAAACTGGGATTTGTGAAAAATCCGGTAACCTTTGAAAGGTTGGACTGATAGATCAGTAAATGGTCAAGGAAAGGTTAACTCACATTCTCCAGGAGGTGTGTGTGGAGGGGTTAACTCACGTTCTCGTGTTTCATGTGTTTGAGGAGTCGTAGTTCTCTGTAGGTCCTCTTAGCATGGATGATGGACTGGAACGGTCTCGACAGCTTCTTCACTGCGATCTTCAGCCCCGACTTAACGTCATACGACGAGCTGCAGTGTCGAAGAGCACACGCACACACACACACACACACACACACACACACACACAGCAAGAGATGCCTTACGCCTTGGTAATTACAACATTCATAACATTACTGATATAACATGACATTCCCGTTATCACAGTTATGACGTTACATCAATAATTCAACACTACATTCCTCTTATTTCGCATGAATGCTACTTTCAACCAGAAATTGAAATAATAATTATTATGTAATATTGTGTGAAGTGGTCCTTGGGACCATGAGATGCATTGTACACATAATAGTGTTTTATTAAACATCATTATTGTTGCAGCCTCTGGCTTTCTGTAGTACTCCGTATTAATGAAGTAGCCCTCCCTTCCTGCTCTATGTAACACAGCACAGTTAGGGCAAATCTGAAACAAGGCAACAGTAAACATGTCATCCCCCATGAATGATGCAGCGTATCATTTGACTTCGATACCGATACCAGTCTTAGTATCACGATACTCAATACCAAAACGTTACCACAGCAAAAAAGAAGGCGTATTAGCCAAAATCACAGTCAGAATGACACTTGATCCAGACAGAGCCTTTGAGTTCAATATATCATTACACTTTAAAATGTTTGATGTCAATTTTTCAGAGACACTCTTGTATGCATTCATGAATCAATTATACAATCAATTTGACTTTGTTCTAACCAATCTACATAAAAACAATGGTTATCATTTATTTGAATGGTAAATCTCTATTGATAAACTGGGTAAATCAAGATGTAGCCTAGGTCTATTCACAATAGAGGTGAATGCAAATTCAATAGGAGTGTGCATGCATTGAGGTGTATTGAGCTTGTTTTGGCTGATTTCATGGGGCTACAGATGAAAAATAATCTGTTTCCTTTCCATTTGAGACTTATTTTATTGCTTCTTCTATGCAACAACATTTGCATAGAAGAAGCAATCTCTTTTATAAATGTGCATGCTGTCTCAGAGCTAATGATGTCATTCAAACACACGGACCGAAAGACAGGAGAGACGTGACTGATGCGAGGGAGACGAAGTGAATAAATAAAGTTTTGGCAATGACTATGGTTTTTGGTGACACTCAGCTTTGAAATAAGCATATTTTGCATTATGGTTTGTATATTATCACAAACAAAGTACTAGGGTCGTGAACTGATGTTAGCTACAGCTGTAAGCTAGCAAGGAAAGTTAGCCTACAAAGCTGGAAACTACCAGTATTTTCTTGCATTCTAAAGTGTTCTAGCCAGCAATGGGCATTGTTTTGCGAACAGCAATTAACAGTTGCAACATTTCTACATGCCGTGTTACATTAGACAAGTTTGTTAACTTCTGTGAATGGGGAGCTCACATGATGCTGCACAAACTCCCAGGACAGGCTGCAATGAGTAAGTGGAGCAGGCACGGTGCGCTCGCGCTATAAGGGGACATCAGCTACGCTGATAGACAGACTTGATCCTCTCAAAACAGTAGACGACGTCAGACACATTTGATAGAATTACATAATTTTTTTTTCTTATGGGAAACGTTTTGCTCACGAGGGCCTTCAAAGTATTCACACCCCTTTACTTTTCCACATTTTGTTGTGTTACAAAGTGGGATTAAAATGGATGTAAATTGTCATTTTTTTTGTCAACGATCTACACCAAATACTTGAATGTCAAACTGGAAGAACATTTTTATATTTTTTTTATGAATGGAAAATAAAATACTAAAATATCTGATTTACATAAATATTCACACCACTGAGTCAATACATGCTTGAATCCCCTTTGGCAGTGATTAGAGCTGTGCATCTTTCTGGGTAAGTCTAAGAGCTTTGCACACCTGAATTTTACAATATTTGCCTATTATTCTTCAAAACATTTGTCAAACTCTGTCAAGTTGGTTGTTGATCATTGCTAGACAGTCATTTTCAAGTCTCTCAATAGATATTCAAGCAGATTTAAGTCCAAATTGTAACTAGGCCACTCAGGAACATTCACTGTCATCTTGGTAAGCAACTCCAGTGTATACAGTGAGGAAAAAAGTATTTGATCCCCTGCTGATTTTGTACGTTTGCCCACTGACAAAGACATGATCAGTATATAATTTTAATGGTAGGTTTATTTGAACAGTGAGAGACAGAATAAAAACTCAGAAAAACACATGTCAAAAATGTTATAAATTGATTTGCATTTTAATGAGGGAAATAAGTATTTGACCCCTCTGCAAAACATGACTTAGTACTTGGTGGCAAAACCCTTTTTGGCAATCACAGAGGTCAGACGTTTCTTGTAGTTGGCCACCAGGTTTGCACACATCTCAGGAGGGATTTTGTTCCACTCCTCTTTGCAGATCTTCTCCAAGTCATTAAGGTTTCGAGGCTGACGTTTGGCAACTCAAACCTTCAGCTCCCTCCACAGATCTTCTATGGGATTAAGGTCTGGAGACTGGCTAGGCCACTCCAGGACCTTAATGTGCTTCTTCTTGAGCCACTCATTTGTTGCCTTGGCCGTGTGTTTTTGGTCACTGTCATGCTGGAATACCCATCCAAGACCCATTTTCAATGCTCTGGCTGAGGGAAGGAGGTTCTCACCCAATATTTGACGATACATGGCCCCGTCCATTGTCCCTTTGATGCGGTGAAGTTGTCCTGTCCCCTTAGCAGAAAAACACCCCCAAAGCATAATGTTTCCACCTCCATGTTTGACGGTGGGGATGGTGTTCTTGGGGTCATAGGCAGAATTCCTCCTCCTCCAAACACGGCGAGTTGATTTGATGCCAAAGAGCTCGACTTTGGTCTCATCTGAGCACAACACTTTCACCCAGTCCTCCTCTGAATCATTCAGATGTTCATTGGCAAACTTCAGACGGGCTTGTATATGTGCTTTCTTGAGCAGGGGAACCTTGCGGGTGCTGCAGGATTTCAGTCCATCACGACATAGTGTGTTACCAATTGTTTTCTTAGTGACTATGGTCCCAGCTGCCTTGAGATCATTGACAAGATCCTCCCGTGTAGTTCTGGGCTGATTCCTCACCGTTCTCATGATCATTGCAACTCCACGAGGTGAGATCTTGCATGGAGCCCCAGGCCGAGGGAGATTGACAGTTCTTTTGTGTTTCTTCCATTTGCGAATAATCGTACCAACTGTTGTCACCTTCTTACCAAGCTGCTTGGCGATGGTCTTGTAGCCCATTCCAGCCTTGTGTAGGTCTACAATCTTGTCCCTGACATCCTTGGAGAGGTCTTTGGTCTTGGCCATGGTGGAGAGTTTGGAATCTGATTGATTGATTGCTTCTGTGGACAGGTGTATTTTATACAGGTAACAAACTGAGATTAGGAGCACTCCCTTTAAGAGTGTGCTCCTAATCTCAGCTCCTTACCTGTATAAAAGACACCTGGGAGCCAGAAATCTTTCTGATTGAGAGGGGGTCAAATACTTATTTCCCTCATTAAAATGCAAATCAATTCATAACATTTTTGACATGTGTTTTTCTGGATTTTTTTTGTTTTTATTCTGTCTCTCACTGTTCAAATAAACCTACCATTAAAATTAGACTGATCATTTCTTTGTCAGTGGGCAAACGTACAAAATCAGCAGGGGATCAAATACTTTTTTCCCTCACTGTGTTATCCCCATTATTTAGCCCAGTTGTACTCAAACTTTTCCAGAGGGGACCCCATTTTTCCAAAATAATTTCAGGTGACCCCATTTTTTTGCAAGAATTTCTCATGACCCCTACCCACCCCAAATCTAATGACAACCTTAAAAATGGGTACATTTCGATTTTTACATCAACAAAACAACCTTCTATTCATGACATTTTCTAAATGAAAAGAAACCAATAAATACATCTATTCAATAAAATTGTATTTTTCAAATTCTCAAAAAAACGTCTGTATATTCTCCCATACAATAATCTGTAATCATAAATTTCTGACCCCCCCCCCCAAAAAACATTGTTTTGAATACCACTGATTTAGCCTATGAGCGCTGACATTCCTGCTACAGTATGCGATAAAGCCATCTGATTAAGCTGAGGCTCCCTCTCAGTGTGTGTGTTTTCATTATTACCACAGTACAGTTCCGACACATTCCAGGAGAATGTACCCATACATTCAATAACACATGCTCTCACACACACACACGCACTCACACACACACACGCACTCCGTCACACGCGCTCGCTTTCTCTCACACACACACACACCTTCAGCAGCTCAGGGGAAATTCACACTGTAAGCCAGCGTCTACACTAGTAGCATTAACTCAACAGAAAATAAAGCAACAGAATTACATTCCTTTTAACTGCGACTTGGAAATGCATCAGAAACATCAGCAGGTCAATTTGCACCATTCAGACCAGAAAGATTGTTAAGATGCAACCAGACCACAGCAGCCAGAAACAACAACTATTGCATCTGATGATTCACTTTCAACTGCTTACTTGGGATTTGAAAAACAAAGTATTTAATTGCTTCAAAATATCCCCCTCCCCTTTCTACCACCCACGCACCCTCTTTCCCCCATCCCCCCTCCCAAACCCCCACTCCAACTGATCTTGGGAACAACAATGGATCTTCCTACTAGGTTGCCAGGGAGACTGGAGCTGGCATGGTCAGACTTCTGTGAAACGTTTTTTCCAGGAAATTGTAAGTAGGGCAGTAGTTGTAGCCAAGGGGACCAGGATTCCGGTCTAGAAGCTTTGTTTTTATTTTCTCACAATTCAAAGTTATTAAATCAATGTCACAATGTGTGTAATAATTTAGCTACCTGTTCTCCCAAAAACGTTCTCAATTAAAATGTTAAATACAAAGTACCTGGCAGAATGATATCATGATTATTTGCATCAATCCAGTGGCCATTTGTTTTGCAAACAATCACATGCGCGCTACAGAAACATCGCTAACCAAAGAACGATCTCTTGCTGGTGCGCACTTGCATTAAAGCAGGGTTTCCCAAACTCGGTCCTCTGGACCCCAAGGGGTGCACATTTTGGTTTTTGCCCTAGCACTAC